CATAATCGCCACTTTAAAGATCCCACTCTATAGTCCCGTTGTGAAGTGCTGGGGTTAGGACTTCAACATAGGAATTTTGTGGGACACAATTCAGCCAGAACCTTCTACCTTACCGTCATCTAGCCAGGATGACTTTGCCTAGTCTCTCTAGTCACTGCATCTTTACTTCTCATGCATTTGTTCCCACTACCTCTTGCCTTCTTCTCCTGCTTCTCTTTCAAAGCCACTTCTCCAAGAAGCTCTCATGCCAAGCGGGTGTCTGGTCTGTTTAAACACCCACAGAGATGGGGAGCTCCTTCTCTCTGAAGCAGCCCATTCTGTGACTTCAACAGCATCACACCCTAGCAGTGTGGACCTGGAGAGGCCTCACGTTTCACATACCCAAGGTGCTTTTCCTTTCAATTCAGATAAAACTATCTCCAGATAAATAAAACGACCTCCAGATAAAATGAGAACTGAGTAGCATATGGGAAGAAAACAGAAATATCCCCGAAGTTGAAAACCAGTGAAACTCAAAGCGTAAAGTCTGTCTACTCTGAGATACTCTTCTTGGGGAGCAGCTTTGAGCCAAATCTGGCCCTTTTCCTATGTTGCAAATACTCAGATGTTTCTTTGCTTGTTTCCAGCCATGAGCAAGTACTGTGATCTCTGCCTTGTTTCCTCTGCATATCAGGACCCTGTTAAATTTGACTTGCCAAGACCCCTTGGTCAAGGTAAAATCAACAGAATCCCCTTTTCTTCCCACTCCGCTTTCCAGCTCCTCCCGGCGTGCACACCCTCCAGCATGCACACCTCCTGGAACTCCAGCCTCGTGCATCATCTTGATGCGGTCGCCTAGTAACGATATGCTTAGCAACCGGTAAGGGAAGCGCGATCACACCTCCCAGCACTGTATGTGAAGCACTGCAGACAATACAAACAGTTCCCTGGTTCTCTCTGCAGCTAGAGGAAGGTAATTGTCAGAGGTGGCCAGCATTATGCTCCAGAGATAGTGGCTCATCATCCGGGGGCCCAAATTGGTTGTTGCTTGGCTTCTGCTTGGCATTGGGCAATATCTTTGTGGGGGCGGCTGGGTAGGTGGTTCTTGAAGGGCCGGATCTCTCTGCTTACACTTGTTCTCAGGATGCCAGTGATGCAGGCTGGGCAGCTTGCAGAATCATCTCTGCTCCCACGCAGCCCTGCCCTGTACCAAGCCATATCCCCCCACCTCCCAAGCCATTCTTCAGTGCCTGTTCCATTTGGAGGCTGTTCTTCCATGCCCTGGCACTGCACGGGCCTCCACCTTGCAGCTGACCTGTCCTCCCAGTGCTCATGCCTCTGTCTTTCTAACACCCTATCAGGCATGTTCCTCCCTCATCCCTGTCTCTCACATTCCTGTGAGTCCCAGCCTCAGGCCACTGGGTCTGACGCCAAACAGGGAACACAGGCCTGCCTCCTGCTCTCTGTTGGTGTCCTGATTAGAAATTGAATCGTTGTTTCTTAACTGAAGGTTCCAGAGTGGCATGTTGCACCAAGAAAACAACAGAGAAGGCCAGAGTCTAAAGGTGTGTTTCCAATGTCAGATCCTCCCTTACCCTTTTTTTGGTCTTAACTGTGTGACTTAGGTTAAGTTTCTTTAACCTCTTTATGTCTCACTTTTCTAAGGGGGTTGGAATATTTGCCTCACAGGGCTAGGATGACAATTACTTAAAGTCCAAATAGAACCCAGTGATAAATTGCATGGCATGCAGTTAGAGAACCCATTAAATACCCTCTTCCTGCTCTTCCTTCTCTGCCTCTTTGTTCTTTCTTGGAAACCTCAAGCTAAGCTAAAGCCAGTTTTGGAGGTGGATTTTCAGAAGGCAGCACAGTGCATTGGCAGGAATGCGAGGTAGGGGTGAAGACCTCAGCTCTGATCCTGGGCTCCACACCCAACAGCCCCGAGGCTCCTCTCGTTCCCCTGTAAAATGGAGTGAAGAGCATCTGGCATGTCTCATGCAAAGAGTTGCTATAAAGCTCAAAGGAGATAATGTGTGTCAATATCCTGTACACATTTCAAGATGTCTTACAAATGTTAGAAGAATTTTCTCGGACAAACCTGGTCCCATTTTTGCACCTGTAAAATGAGATTCCAAAATATCCAAAACCCTCTTAAATCCTAACATTGTGGCAAACTGAGAGGTGACAGTTGCTTGCCCATCAGGGGCCACCGTAGGTGGGACAGACTACTTCTTCACAGGCAATCTTTGCCCTGAAGTTGTCAGGATAGATTGTAGCAGTACTTCCACTCTCTGTTCCCTGGGGCCTCTTGACCGAGATGGCTGATCATCATCCAGTCAAGGCCTCAGCCCAGTAACATTCTGCAAGCTTCTCATTCTAGCTTGGAAATGTATATAGCTCTGTTCTTTCAATAAAGAAAACAAATGAGTCAGAGCATACTCGAAGCATGATAGAGGTACGGGGAAGCAATCACTGGTGTAGGTGTTTGAAGTTGATGTCATGGATACTTCCATGGTGGTTTTGTGTTTAGCAACAGCCTAAAAGAGAGTAGAATTTGCAAATGAAGGATACATGAAGCAAGAGATTTACAAATGCATAGCATAAGTCACAGTAAGTCAAATAACAGAGGGACAAACAAATAGAATTTGGATGTCATTGAAACCTTGAAGGTTGGGAGTCTGGCCAAGTATGAGGAAACATTACGGAGACTTTTGCATTCTCTTCTGAGAGACTTTCCCCAGGCAATTAGAGGGTCTCCAAATAACAGAGCATCTCAGCAGATAAGATAGGAGATTCAGAGCTCTCAACGCTCTTGATTTGCCTGGAAGAGCTATTTCAGTGCTCCTGGGGAGAGGGCTGCAACCCCACTCAGGGATCTTGCCTGTTACACATTCCGCAGTCACATGACTTTAGGGCAAAGATCAGCAGAGTCTCCTGCTAATAAGTGGGGCACTCCTGCTTCATAATATACTTGCAAGAGGTTGGACATAACACAAATGTCAACTGTTAACCACAGTTATAACTAACTTTTTTAAAATATAGGTTAACCACAGTTATAACTAACCACAATTAGTTATAACCACAGTTATAACTAACTTTTTTAAAATAGAGGTATTTGGGGCCAGGCATGGTGGCTCATGCCTATAATCCCAGCAGTTTGGGAGTCAGAGGCAGGCAAATCACCTGAGGTCAGGAGTTCAAGATAATTCTGGCCAACATGGCAAAACCCTGTCTTTACTGAAAATACAAAAATTAGCCAGCCATTGGTAGCACATGCCTGTAATTCCAGCCACTTGGGAAGCTGAGGCAGGAGAATTGTTTGAACCTGGGAGGTGGAGGTTGTAGTGAGCCCAGATCGCACCACTGCACTTCAGCCTAGGCAAAGTGCAGTGCTGAAAAAAATATATATATATTTGGAGCATTCACAGTGGTGCACACCTGTAGTCTGTAGTCTCAGTTACTCATGAGGCTAAGATGGGAGGATCATTTGAGCCCAGGAGTTCCAGGCTGCAGTGGGCTATGCTTATACCGTTTCACTCCAGCCTGGGTGACGGAGCAAGACACTGTCTCTATAAATGAAATATATGTATTTCAGAAGGAGTAATGGGACTTAATCTGTGTTCTTCCTGGACCCATAGAATAGAAAGTCATGGACTCAATGAATATGAAGCCGATAGGAACCGTAACAATCACCTGGTCCAACCCTTTTCTTCACAAGTGAGAAAATGGCCCCTAAGATGTTAGAGTGATTAATTTGGGATTGTAGAAATGTTTTACTTACCTTTAAAATAAAAACACAAAAATAAAAACACATAAAAGTCACTTACCTAAGGTTCCACAGCATTGCAGAAAAAGAGTTTGTCTAGACCCTGAATTTGTTGCCTTCCATCCCTGTGCTGGTACCAGTAGATTCGATCTGAGGCTAGAACTGAGTTTCCAAAAATATCCTTTATCCCCCCACCCCCCAAAAAAGTGTACTAATGCCTCCAACTAGCCTTTGCAATGTAAAACTTTCCATTTGCAACATTTCACAATATGCAGGATAATTTCATCAACATTATCTTTTGAATAAATCATAGACTTATTCTGTGAGGAAATGTTACACCTAAAATGTCAGCAGTCAGCTGATCTCTCAAAACATACCTGGTTATGCAGGGTTAAAACCGCCGGCTGAAGGGCAATGTGAAAATGGAACCTTTGTTTGATTTTCGTAACCCACTTCCCACGTAGCCCATCCACTCGAGGGAAAGAGAAACTGCTAATGGGATGGTAAAAGCAGTTTGAATGCCATCCTCCGCACAAGCTCCTGTCTACAGCTTTTGTTCCCATGGTCTCTTCAATAAATATGACTCAGTCTGCTGTTTGGGCTTCACTTCCTCTGGGCAGGGAGCTGACAGCAGCGGCTCTGCTGTGCCCATCATGGGTGACTCGGGTCCCACTGAGGGTGGGGGCTGCCTGTCCTCTCCCCAGCTGACCAGCACCCTTCTGCTGTTCCAAGCAGTGCTGTCCCTGACTCTTCCAGCTTTCAAAGTGCTCACCAATTCCTAAGGCTGTTGGCTCCCCCTCACCCCATTATTTTTATAAAGCAGTGCCGTGCACGTATCTTGGTAAGCTGCCAAAGTGCTTTTTTCACCCACCTACTCACCTATAGAATTCGTAGTCTCCAGTGTAGGCTGACGCATGGAAGGCCAAGGAAAGGCCAACATGTGTTCCTACGAAAAACAAAAGCAAAAGACAGGAAAAGCCTCCCAACCATCTCAACCCTTTCTAAATGCTTGTTGGAGCAAGATCACGATCTACTTAATGTCTTCAGGGGGAGGGGGCGATGGTCATCGGAGTCAGCCCACACTTGTAAACTTCTTTTTGCTGTAGAATCAGTCAAGAAAGGAGCTTTCACTTATTTGGATGCACATTATTTTATATGGGTTGGCTGTGTCCCCACCCAAATCTCATCTTGACTTCTCACATGTGGGAGGGACCTGGTGGGAGGTAATTGAATCATGGGGGTAGGTCTTTCCCATGCTGTTATCATGATAGTGCATAAGTCTCATGAGATCTGATGGTTTTGAGAAACGGGAGTCTCTGCACAAGCTCTTGTTGCCTGCTGTCATCCATGAAATATGTGACTTGCTCTTCCTTGCCTTCCGCCATAATTGTAAGGTTTCCCCAGCCACCTGGAACTGAAAGTTCAGTTAAACACCTTTCTTTTGTAAATTCCCATCTCAGCTATGTCTTTATCAGCAACAATAGTAATGTATTAGTTCATTTTCATGGGGATAGATTCTAGAAGAAGAACCAGCATTTTACATAGCAAAAACAGATATAAAGGATTGAATAAGAGGTATGGGGGTCTCCTTCCCCTATGCCAACCCAGGCTACAGTCACCTAAAGGATGGAGAAGTGGAGAGCCACATTTTCATGGGACTGCTTGTCTAGTCTTGGGATTAAAGGGGATTCCTTGCAAAAATATTTAGTTAGCAATCCAAAAATATTTATTTAGCATCCACCACAGAAGAGGCCCAGAAGATTTATTGTGTAAGTTTGCCATGAGCTACGTATCAGTTGGGCTGTTCATGTTGGGGGCTGTGTTTTTCTCCAGTACTCAAGTCAAGGGCAGTAGGGGGTGGATAGGGAGATATACCACCACAGGCCAGTCACCCTCAGCTTTGGAGATGGCACTCCTTGTTCAAGAAAGTGCTGGTTGTTGCTAGGACATCTCGGATGCAGGGTGTATTGCTTACCAATCTGCTGTAGAGTTTTCTCCTTCCTGTCCTTTCTTCATATGGGACAGGAAAGGTCCAGCTTGGCCTAACTGTGCCCTCACATGTTACTCATACTCACCTGTGAGTGTGAGTAAACAGAGCTCCTAACTCATTCACTCATGTGTGCATTCTCTCTCTCTCTCTCTCTTTCTCTCTCTCTTTCTCTCTCTCTCTCTCTCATACTGTGGTCATCACAGCACAGCCCCGTATCCACCCAGTAATGGCAGACTAAGGCCAGACCAAGACAGGACATGAACAGATGAGGCAACTAGGGTAGGGCTGTTCCCAGGCATGGGAGGCTGCTCAGGAGGCATGATTTCCACTGCTCAGCTGCATGCAGCTGAATAGTCTGGAGTGCCAACTCCATAAACCTTATCAGTCACTTAGACCTGACTATGGGTGGCTTTGTAAGATGTTTCCCAAGAGTAAGGGAAAAAGAGCATCAGCAGAAATAGGTCTGTTATTGAAGATGAAGTAGGGAAAGAGAAAGACAGGTGTCACACCCCTGTTTATTGTCCTAGCACTCTTAGTTGCAGATGACAGAAACCCAAAAGGGAGGATTCACTTTGGCTAACATACTCAAATTAAGGGAAGATCCAAGGAAGCAGCTGAACTCAGGCATGATGGGAACCAGGACTTCATCCAGGACCTTAGATGTCTCTGGGTCTGCCCCCCTGCCTCTGCTTCTCTCTCTCTCTCATCTCTGGCTGTCACTACATGTTGGCTTAATTATTTCAGAACAACTTGTGCCCAAAGCAAGGAACTTGGTGGCTAATGGTGTGCGAGCTACCAGCCACAGCTCCATCACCCAGAGAAAAGCCCTTTTCCCCAAGCTAAAGTTTAAAACATGTCAAAGAAGGACTCTGATTAGTTTGGTTAAGATTATGTGTCCATTTCTGGACTAACTCCTACAGCCAAAAGGGTGGGGTATTTTGTTTGCTTCCTCTTGATTAATGTGCTCCATCCAATGGTCCAGGCCAGGATGGGGAGGAAGAGGAGTTGGTGCTCTCTGATGAGCCCTCTCCACTAGCAGCACAAGGCTGGCCTGGGAGGAGGAATAGTCCCACAAAGAAAGCCAGTGAAATTCTCCCAACCAGGGAAAGGAGGCGTTGCAGACAGATGAAACAACTGAGGTCCCCAGCAGTCTATGTGCAAGCTTCTTTCCGTAGCAGTTTGTGATTTGTGGCCAGCAGGTATGTTGACTGTTGGAAAGACTGTTAAAACTTGGAAAACAGAGGAAAATAGTGACATCAAAAGTGCTTGAAAATTGGCAGCGTGTAATTATGTTATTGCTAGGAACAAAATAAAACTTTGCAGAAAGAACAGGCAGCTTTGAGACTGTGAAGTATATGTCAATAAATCATTTGCATACCGATGGGCTGTTTGACGATTGTTACTCTACAAAGGTAGCTGAGCTTGCCTGCCTTGTCTGGTTGACCTGCTTATAGGATCTCACCAGTCAATTTATGTGTTTGCTCTTTGTTCTGTCTTTCCTGGGCATGAACCCAATGTCAGTACTTCCCATGGAATCATCTCTGAATTTAAAGGATATTTTTATTATATTGCTAATATTAGGGATGGTCTACCCATGGAATCATGTCTGAATTGAAAGGATGATATTTTTATTATACTGCTTATGTCTAGAGCTGAGAAACCACCTTGCTCTTCAGTCTTGAGGGACTGATGTTCTTACAGTAAACGACTTTCTGATTCTGTTGCTTAACTCTCCAGACTATACTTTGTTCTCATTCAAATGGTGCATTAGCTTTAATACTCTGCTGCAGGCTGTCTAATAACAGCCTCCCAAAGATGTCCACATCCTAATTCCAGAACTTGCACCTGTGCCACCTTACGTGGCAGAGAGACTTTGCAGATGCAATTAAGTTAAGGATCATGAGATGGGGAGATAATCTTGGAGTATCTGGTTGGATCTAAAGTTATCACAAGGGTCCTTAATAAGAGAGAGAGGCAGGAAGGTCCGAGCAAGAGAAGGCTGTGCCACAACAGAAGCAGAAGCCAGAAAGACAGAAAAGAGAGAGATCGGAAGACACTATGCTGCTGGTTTTGAAGATGGAGGAAGGAACCGCGAGCCAAAGAATGTGATCGCCTCTAGGAGCTAGAAAAGACAAGAAGGAGGATTCTCCCTTAGCATCCCCGAAAGAAGTGAACTCTGCTGGCACCTTGGTTTTAGGACTTCTGACCACCAGAATGGCAAGACAAATCAGTGTTGTTTTAAGCCTCTAAATTGGTGGTAATTTGTCACAGCAGAGTACAGCTACCTTTCTGGAAAGAAACTTGGCAGTGTGTACTAGGAAATAGAAGAATGTATTCCTTCTGACTAAGTAATTCTAGCTCTAGGCTTCCTTCCTAGTGAAATAATCATTTCTGTAGAAATACAATTAAAAAGAAGTTTGTTCCACTGTTTTCTAGAATAGTAACACCTTGGAATCATCCGAGAGCCCTACTGGTGAGCCTATTATTTATTTATTTATTTATTTATTTGAGATGGAGCCTCACTCTGTCTTCTACGCTGGAGTCCAATGGCTCCACCTTGGCTCACTGCAACCTCCACCTCCTGGATTCAAGCGATTCTCCTGCCTCGGCCTCCTGTAATCCCTGCCTACTGTAATCCCAAGTAGCTGGGATTACAGGCGCACGCCAGCATGCCTGGCTAATTTTTGTATTTTTTTATAGAGATGGGGTTTTGCCACGTTGGCCAGGCTGGTCTTGAACTCCTAATCTCAGTTGATCCACCCGGCTCAGCCTCCCAAAGTGCTGGGATTACAGCCATGAGCCACCATGCCCGGCCACAGTGGTCCTATCTCTATTATAATTACAACATTGTTCAAGTAAGAAAACATGGCCCCTTCCCTTAGTGATGACAATCCCTTTCTATGTGGCTTCCAGCAATGTGTTGTGATTGCAGATGGGAGTGGCCTATATTATAGAAAACGACTGTGACGACAGCTTTGCTGTTGATCTACTGATTCAACAGATGCTCACTGACTGTTTGGCCCTGGGCCAGAGCTAAGGGCAAAGACTTCTGTGGGATTAGAAGGAAGCTGCAAGGGTCTGGCCAGGGAGATGGTTATCAACACAAGGATTTCTGAAAAGTTGGTGTTTTGCTTCAAACTTGAAAGATTGGTAAGAATGAACCACAGCCGAAAAGCCAATTAATTCATGGAATGCAGTACAGATCCTCAAGGCTCACCAGGAAGTCTGAAGGTTCTGCCTCCTGAGGTAGGACTAGGCCCCTTGTCAAAGAGCTGCAGTTAGTAGCGGAAAAATGGAACCAACGCAAATGTCCTTCAGTGGGAGACTGGTATAGTCATACCATGGAATACTACTCGGCAATGAAAATGAACAAAGTATTGACACGGGCAACAACCTGGATGGATCTCAAGGGTATTATGCTGAATGAAAAAAACGTTCAGCTCAAAAAGTCACATACTGTATGATTCCATTGAGATCACATTCTTTAAAAGATAAAACTGTAGAGATGGAGAACAAACTAGGGGTTGTGAAGATGGGTGGGGGTGTGAGTTTGTCTAAAAAGGGAAACCCAAGGAAGTCTTTTCATGGTGATGAAACAGTTCTGTATCTTGATTGTGGTGATGGTCACATAAATGTGTTCATGGGATGAAATTGCATAGAACTGCTGGGTGCAGTAGCTCACGCCTGTAATCCCAGCACTTTTGGAGGCCAAGGTGGGTAGATGAGGAGGTCAAGAGATCAAGACCATCCTGGCCAACATGGTGAAACCCCATCTCTACTAAAACTACAAAAATCAGCTAGGCATTGCGGCACACGCCTGTAGTTCCAGCTACTAGGGAGACTGAAGCAAGAGAATTGCTTGAACTTGGGAGGCAGAGGTTACAGTGAGCCAAGATTGCGCCACTGCACTCCAGCCTGATGACAGAGTGAGACTCTGTCTCAAAAAAAAAAAAAAAAATGTATAGAACTACACCACACACATGCACACATACACACGAATGAATCCATGTTAAAAAAAAAAAAAGTGAAAATGGGATCAGGTCTGTAGTTGAGTCACAGTATTATGTCAATGTCATTTTCCTGCTTTTGATATTAATGTTATTCTGCAAGATGTCCCCTTTAGGGGAAGATGAGTCAAGGGTACTCAGGACTCTGTGTGCTATTTGTGCAACTTCCTCCGAGTCCATCATTATTTCAAAATAAAAAGTACCAAAAAAAATGACAAATTGAAATTCCTCTGACCCTTCTTCTGTCCCCAAGAATTTTCTCACCACTTGAATGGTTCCAGAGCCACTTCAGTTGGTGTTTAAATATTGATCCCTCATGGCCCTTACATT